TGCTGCCGGGCGCACTCCCGCTCCAGCGCGCCCTCGCTGCCGTACACGTACAGGGAGTGCTTGTTCAGCTTGGGCAGGAAGAGCGCCTTCAGGCCCGGGCAGGAGCAGCCCGCCGGGGCCGGGGCCGGGGCAGGGGCCTGCTGCTGCTGCTCCTCCTCCGCCTCCGCCTGGCTCCCCGGCGCGGCGACGGACACGGCGACGTCCTGCTGGTGGTGCTGCGGCGATGGCGATGGCGATGGCGATGGCGGCAGCGGGCCCAGCTTGGCGTCGGCTTCCGCGGCGCGGCCGGCGGACTTCTTGCTCGGGCCCCGCGAGTCCCTGCCGGAACGGTCCCCCGGGGGTTGGCCGCCTTTCTTCTCCATCGCGGGTGTGGGGTTGGTTTTGAGGGGCGGGCTGCCCGGTGTCGGTGTCGGTGGCTACAGAGGAAGTGGTCTCTCTCTCTCTCTCTCTTTTTTCCCCCTAAAGGCGACCGTTGCGAAGGAGGCGCGAGCAGCAGGGGCGCGCGGCCGGCCCGGGCTCGAGACGCCGTCCTTGCCTGTGCGTGTAGAAATGGCGGGAGGGGGAGTTCAGCGTCTCCCCACCCGCTTCACACACCCCGGCGCTGGCGCCGCCATGAAAGACACAGCGGCGGTACAATTGAGCGGTTTCGGGTTCCATAATTGTTGTCACCTGAACCTTACGGGTACTGTTACAAAATTCTCTGAGGCTCCAGGCTTTTTTTTTTAAACCAAAAAAAAAAACAACGAACGGGCACAGAGGTTCCCCCCCGCGGTTCCCCCCCGCTCCCCTCAGTTAACGTTAACCGTCCTGCTCCGTGAAAACTTTGTAAAACAAAAACAACAAGGACAACTCAATGGGTTAGTTAGCAGTGGTTGGCATTTTAAATGGGAGCTTCGAAGGCGGGCGATGACAAAAAAAATGTCACAAACAAGCGTTTCTACTTCATCAGGATGATGGAGAAAGAGCGGTGCTCAGATCTGTCTTTACACGGAGAAGGAGTCGGATGAAAGTAACGGTCCCCAGCGTCACTCATTTGTCTAGTTAATAACAAGCAAAATGTACCTCCTTGAAGCTTGAGACCCCGAAAAGGAACACCGTTGGGACAGCTTTCTGATGAGGGAAGGGTGAAAGCTCAATAAATATTGGCAGAAAGAGACAGACCTAGAATCCAGTAGCGGATCGTTATCTTTAAGGAGCGTACGCCGGGAGAAACGTTACTGCCGAGAGAGGAGTCACGTTAAAAGTACGGCAATCGATGCTGTATAATTTACTATGTCACTGTTTCATTACTCTGTCCTGTTGCTTCCAGAGTAACATTAAAACAAGACTACAGTCAGGATGAAAATGTAAGGAACTGCCATGTGTCCAGCTTCATCAGTACCCCTAAACCGTTTCTTATCTGTTTCTGAAAGTAAAATTTGATGAACTGAAACGAGAGAAAGCTCTTACGTCGTGCCAGGAATGTCCTTTGTAACGGTAATAGGAGTTATTGTGAATTGAGTAAGACGGGAGTGGATCCTGACGATTAGGATTCAATCTACAAACTGCTGTACTGCATGGAAACGTTATTTATCTGCGATGGACTGGCGACGTGCCCCCGTCGCTCGCTGAGATGAGTTGGAGAAAGGGTTAGAAAATGGATGGACGGATGGAAGTTATATATTATGGGTATGTGTGACATACCATTCATTTCAGAAATGAAATATTTCAAAGAACAGTTGTCAAAAGAGCCACAGGCACTTCCTGTTCATTTTACTTTCCGACTGTGTAGTTAACAAGGAGGTTTTTTTCAGTGGAAGTAATTAATAATGTAGGATTACAGGTAATTTGTTCCCCAACTATATGATCTGGTTCTGACACGGACCCGCATGAATTATATAGCGACATCTTTATTGTCTTAAACAGGGACATTGTATCATTATGATCTGAGCACAGATGGTTTCATAGTATGGTGGCTGTACTGGTTGAAACAATCCTTTGGATATAAATTAATTAAAATAGTTGTGGTTTCTATTGCATTATTGATTTCTGCTCAACAATATTACAATATTTCTTTTTGCCCAAATAATAATTCTCATTCAGTTCAGGTGGGTGGCTGCGTAATGCATAGGCTGCAAAGGAATAAGTAAAGGTTTAATCTATATTGAAAAGAGAAGAACAGAAACAACGTTTTGGCTGTGGAGCCTTCTTTGTGTGACACCTGAAGAAGGCTCCACAGCTAAAACGTTTTTTTTTCTTCTCTTTACTTGTTCCATTGCATAATTCTCATTTACCTTCAATTCATCTTTAACATATTTACACGCTGTGACATTTGAACACTACACATTTAGGAATATGTTTATTTACAGTTATGATATTGCTTATGCTAAAGTCAGTACTCCCTTTCATACATTAATTCATAAATATTTTAAAATCTTGATATACAACTGCATTTTCTTGTGCTGAATTTTGGTTACACTGCGTCCACGGTGTGAATACTGTATGGCTCTCCTCACATGTGTAGGATTGTTAAAAAATATAAAAAGATTTTTCAAGAATGATATCATGCCCTTGAGCCCAACACAGCTTCCTTGCATTCTTCTTTAAGGTAGATTTTTTTGGTGTTTTAGACACAAATAATACTATTATGTATTTTATGTAATATTCCTTGCAGCAGAAGACGTGCCTGTCCCTGAAAATTAATGCGATAAAAAGCTTGCCTGGTGTTCACTCCTAGGAATAAACACCATGTAATGAAATGCTCCACTCCGAGATAATGGCAGCTAATCCACTTTCTATTCATTGAACATATGACCTGTTGGAAGTGTGTTCCCCGTCTGGCAGCCAGTGATGATCGCTTGCGGACTCCGAGCATTTTTGACCCTTCCCTGTCTTTCAGGTCTCATGCCTGCAAAGTCTGCAGCACGCCCTTCTTCCATTTTACAACACACATCCCTTTGAAGATCCACTTTCTCTCCTGCTGGTGGCGGGAAATGAGTTCTTGCCCTCAGCTGCTCTAGATAAGGCCACTGCACTGCTTTGTTAGCTCTTCAGCGTAATCTGTACATTTTGTTTTGTGGTTTTCTGTTTCTGCTGCTGTCAATTTTTCTTTTTCATAAAATGTACAGTATGGAAAGTGCCTTTGGAATGCCCTAATTGAAAGGCGCTATATAATAATACAATTAATTGATTGATCTACTCCTACTGTAAATGGCAAACACAGCTACACTGAGATACTGTGTCCTCTGTTGCTGCAGGTGCAGTATCTCCACAGTCTATGCTGCACTGAGATTTCTAGGGCAGAGCATCAGTGTCACAGGCAGACCAGCCCTGTTACACAAGAGAGGTCTTTTTTTTGGGTCATGAATCGTTTTCTTAATGAGACAAAGACATAACTATTCCTTTATTTTTACTTTGAGCATGAAATTTGAATTAGTATGTATCCAATACTCTTTGTGAAGTTTTATTAATGTAAGACGAGAAAGAAATATGGCAAATTTGTATATTATTTTTTATACCAGAGAGAGCATAATTCAGGTTACTATTACAATATTGATTCAATTATGACTTAAAATATATTATTGTCCAATCAACAGGCCACTGTCTGCAAACACTTTTTTAATTGTAAGCTCTTTTGAGTTTTTTAACACTTCAATATGCCTGAATGTACTTGGTTTTAGAGACAAAAACTTATTGGGGCGCTGTTGCTGCCCAAGATATCACTTTAAACTGATTTAGTAAAAAGAACATTCAGAATAGACAAAAAAAATACCAGTGGGACAGAGGGAAATGAGAGCAGATTCAGCAAATTTGCTTACAGCATCAGGAAATGTGAGGGGCAGCAGAGTTCTTGAGTTTTCAGAGAACGTCAGCCTGTTTATCACTTACTCTTCAAGAAGAACAATAAGAGGAAATGAGAAAAAATAGAGGCGCTCTAACAAAGTCAAAAACAAGACCAGCACAACTACCACAGACATGGAGACTGACGTTTGTGTGATGTGCAGTTTGCCGTTTTAGAATATGTGGAACTGTTAGTGCCAAGGCCATTATCAAGACAAGCAACCTGGCAATGGATTGATAGGCGTGTCACTAAAGGAAAAATCACATGCATGAAGTTAAAAAAAAGGTAAGTGAGCGCTTTTGGAAACTTAAATACAGCCCCGAACAGAAAGTCTTTCACCAAGACATGCTTTCCAAGATCACTTAGAGGTGGAGTCAGGATAGGAAAGCGATTCTGCAGTGACATGCAAAACAAAGCAGCACTAAAGAGTGTGTGAGAACTGTCACATTGGCACAGAAGAAGAAATGGATGAGTAAGAAGCACAAAAGACCTCAACAGGATTCAGGAAATGGATCAACATTGAATGCTAAAAGCAAACACAAAGTTTTAGAGACTCCGATTAATGCAGCCAGCAGCACGTCTCTAGAAGCAGGGAGGAAGGGGGAGCTCGTGAAGAAACCCCGCCGCCACGCCTCCGCCTCCGCCTCCGCCTCCGCAGAGCAACTCTCACGAGAGCAATCGACTTAATCAACAGCTGGAAGAGCAGACGCAACGAGGATGTTCCAACGAGAGAGAAATTCATAAGTGACGTATCTCTGCTTCAGTGCAGGCCTTTTAAGAGACGATACATGCCAAAAATGAACAACAATACAAGTCATTCGGCCTCCCCTTCGCTAGAGGGGAAGTCACCAACCTGTACAATTTTCTTTGTTTGTATAGAGCTCTACAAATTCATGGGACCATTCATGATTTCTTCTGAGCACTATATTCTCCACACATAACGTCTCCTTCCCCCTGCAATAGAGCATAAGAAGGTATTTCAGTGACGCTTTCCCCTGACCAAAACCACGATACAGTGCGCTACGTATAATCTCCCCCAGGAGCACCTGATCTCCTTCTATTTTGCGTGCTGTGATTATCCCTGCAGATCTGCAGCAGCTCTGTGACTAACCCAGCTGACCTCTAGACACGGAGCTCACAGTGTGATGCCGCAGATCAGGACAAACTGAATCGTCTGAGCTGTGTTTCTGAAGACGAAACCTCTTACTCTGGCACGCAGCCATATTGTGATGGCGTGCTTCATTTTTATTTTGTGGTTCTAAACCACATTAAACCACACAGACACCAAATGTTTTATGAATGAAATAGTTTTTTACCACTGTCTTCAGTAAAAATATAACAAGCTACAACTTTATTCATCATAAACAAATAGCCAAAAAGTGAATATCCACATAACGTGGAAACAATATTAACCTTAAGAGCAAATTTCTTTTTTTTTATTTGAAAACGGTAGTTGGAAGCACAAATAACAATTCTCCTAAGGTAAAAATGATATCTGTAAATGAATTGTTCATTCACTGCTGTTTAAATCAATTAAATTGCCACCAGGGTTAGTGTCTTCCACATTGTGTGAAAATACATTTTCCATTAGTATCCGAACAGATTCATAAAACAAAAACTCTTGCTTCTTTATGAAACAGTTACTCAGAACCCTTTTAACTCAAACTCCATTAGTTAACTTTCTGCTACATTTTAACTTTCTGGCTTTCCTCTTACCTCCGATACGGAAGTTCAGACATACAGAGTTTCTCGACGTGAATCACCCGTTGGTGGTACCACCAGGAGCCAGAATTCATCATCTCAATGGAGTCTATTTGACAGAGTGCAGTCGGGTGGGCCATCACCCTCTTAAAACTGGTCGCATTGGAATGGCTGAGAAAAAAAGAAAGAATTAAGAATTCAGCTGCAGTTGGGAGCCTGACAATTCTTAGCAAAGCCTCCCTGTAAAAGTTAAATCACCGGAGGCATGCTGTGGGTCAAGTATACTGCTCTGACAGCCCTACTGCACGTGTCCGACAGAGGAGAAAAGGGAGCACTTTGATAGTTCATACCACACCTAGCAGATTTTAATTCAATAAATCAGCTGAATCTCTGCTCTTTATCGCTTAGGTATACCTACAGCTGGATCTTGCCTTGCGTGTCGGGCCTCTGGCTGCTTCTCAGAGTGACCGAGATCTTTCCATTCGTCGTCAGCGGCTTCACCTCCAGCACCAGGAGAATGTGGTGAGCTGAAACACACCGCCATTCGGCATTGAATAAAAGAAGGAAACATTCATTCGCTCCTTCCTGGAACAAGGGTAATATATGAAAAATAAAAAAGTGGCTATCGTAGAGGGTTCAGAGAAGCACAATTTGTTTTCTGATCTGTTTCATACTAGAAAGATAACTTGTGAATCTCTGTTTACAGTAATCGTGAAAGGTTTGTTTGTAATGTAGGAGAGAAGCTTTTGCTAAGCAAAAGAAAAAAACACCTACCACAGAAAGGTGCTTCGGGCATGGTCATCAGGAAAATCTCTGGATGTTCAGGAAAAGTTTTGACTTCGATCCCATGAGTATCCTGCATGCCTGGGAATAAACATACTGTAGATAAAAGTCTTGCAGCAAGGTGAAACTGCTCATTTTTATCTGGCTGCCTGGTGGCACATTACAGAGACAATCCAAAATAGGGCAAAATGTAGTGAGAGGTGAAATGAGAGATAGGACCTGGTAACAGATCTCTTTCAAAGTGCTCACTTAATTACCTGTGTCTTTAAAATGACAGCTTGGAGAAGCCTTTGACTTCCTCTCATCTCCCTCACTTATTAGATCCCATCTGTGCATCAGAGTGAAGTTCTGATTTTTGTGATGCTGTTTGCGAATGCCAGTATTTTATACCTGTCAAGACTGTTAGATCACATGACCCTTGAATGTAAACTTATTTAAGCCCACGGGGAAGTGTAGTCCCTGTGCTGTATGTATTGTAAGCATTTTGAAAGTAGTTAAAAACGCTGTCTACTCAACCTATTTGGGGGCAGGAGCCGTTGAAGTGTGAGTCACAGTCCAGACAGCTTCCTCCGACAAAGTCTTTGTAGCTGGAGCAAGGGAACCCGGCCAGTGGACAAGAGCCGTTCAGAGCACTGATGTAGACATACACGGCTCTCATGTGGTCACAGATTATATACCTGTACACTGAAGAGGCAGAGAAGCATCAGCAGCACCTTGAGCATTAAGTTGCTGTACATAACGTATTCCTAAAGTGATGTTTTAAAATCGGGTGCCACAGGAAAGCTCAAACTGTTCAGGGACAGCAAATGTAGAGACTTCCAGAGTGCATAGGCAATGCACTTCTCTCAGTTTTTTATTTAAGACGAGAAAGTATCCATTACAATCTCTTGCCAAATCATGCAGTGCTACAGTGTGTAATTTAGAAACAGGAACGAGTAGGGGCCCGTTTGCTCAGGGTTACTTCTTACCTGAAGACAATCTGGACAAGCCACAGCCTGGCTGGTCCTTCCCTCCATTGAGCAAAAAGTCCACGTGGCCAATAGGATTTGATGTCCCAAATTCTGGAAGCAGGAGAATAGCAGAAACCATTTTTATTTCGGGGACGTATCAGATCTGAAAAAGGTTCCTTTTCTCTGCGTATCAAAAGTGTTTACGCAAAGCTTATTTCGGTTTGTTCTCTTCATCAGATCTCTTTTAAGAATGCATGCTGCATGTTATGGTCGTGCTTATCAGTTGTTTTTTTATCCATTGCATTGTATTGTCATCAATTTCCCTTCGGGATCAATGAAGTCTTATCTATCTATCAATACAAACAAGCCTATTATGATGCTACAAGTAAAGCTCAGTAATTCTAGGAGTAAAGTGATCACTCATCGGATGGAATTAAATTAAAGTCTGTGCTTTCATAAAAAAGAGGGTTGGAATGTGCCGTGCCATATTATTGACGACATAACAACAACAGCAAGAATTAGAGAGCAGCTGTGCTGGTCCAGATGCGCATATCTTACTGTCTGAGTCCGTGTGAATGGCTTCTACAAACAGCGCGTCAGTGGGGTCAAGGCGATCGTATGCGTCCGCATCCTTGAACATTAGGCTGGCTGCATCTAGAGCTGGAAGGACAAACGGCCTTGTTTCATGTTCCTGTCAGGTCACGACAACAGCCTCCCCACTCTTCTGCACGTGTGGCCTTGTTGTACAGACCCAGGAAACTCACTGGACCAAAATACCCAAATAATGTATTAAAATAGTAAAACGTTTCCAACAAATTATCTAATAGCATTTGAATCAATTCAATCACCTACTTTCCTAGGAGATATATCTTAGTAAAAGTCCCCTGTCCTCAGAGTTGGCTGCAGTTTGGTACTGTAAGTGCCTGTGCTTGTGCTCTATAGGCTCCTACGAGCTGGGGATGTGCTTTTAACAGGTAAGCAGTGACTTCTGTCGTGTGCAGGATTGTCAATTGTTGTGTATCACTTGGTAGTACAAAGAGGATTAATTCCCAGGGGGCGTTGGGTTCCAGTAAAGAGTTTTATTTCTTTTAAACTGCAAGAACACAGCATAAGAACAACAGAATTGAAATTGCGACTAGATCAACCTCTGCTCTTTCTGACTCCTGCTCAAGAGGCCTTTCCTGTTTGATTTTTTAAAGGCATAGAACTCTACTCTTCAAATGCAGAATAATGTCTCAAAAACATTATAAATCCACTTCTGCACATCACACTCTTTCTAAGAGACAACCTTTTTCTTTCATGACTATACAGAATGAAAAAATGGATAGATGTTGTGTCACGAAACGCAAGAACACCTCACACACATTTCAGCCCTACATTAGTACACGTGAACAGAACTGTTCCTAACCACAGGCACAGATTACAGCTTCAGGCAACAGTGTTGTTTTTTTCAAATTGAACAGTAAGCAAACATCAGTGGAAACTGGGGACCCACCTGTGATCCTTCCTAGCTTTCCACCGAAGAGGGTGCCCACATACCCTGCAACATGCGCCCCTAAACTGATCCCAATTAAGTGAAATGATTCCATTTTGCTTCCAAGTTTCTAGTAGAAGAAAAATTGATGAGTATCACAACGACACCACATGCTTCATTCAAGCAGATGAGAAAGTGCTTCGCTCTCATCCTTCCATCAGATTGCTATGTCTGGGAACCAACTCAGGATTTACAAAATAAAAGTAACCGAGTCTCTTTGGTGAATGATAAGTGCAATGTGCTCTTAAGAGACCACTTTATTGGCCATATACAATTTCCTGGATTAGGAATTTGTCTTTTCACATACCCCAGCTTGCTCTCCATGAGACACACAGGCAAGGAGAGAAGCTGGGGGTCCGAGCGCAGGGTCAGCCATTGTACAGCGCCCCTGGAGCAGCTGGGGTGAAGGGCCTTGCTCAGGGGCCCAGGGGAGTAGGATTCCTCTGCCGGCTGCAGGCGCAGATTCTTAGCCACAGTGCCACTGCACCGCCCCACCTCTTCAACATCGTTATCATTTTGTGCCCCTGTTGGTGCAGCAATGCGCTAGCAACCCGCATAAATTAGTTCTGTAACATGCATATATATGCGTACAGAATTTCATGTTTGACATTTTTTTAGAAATGAATGTGAAAACGAAACAGCAAGGGTTAGCCGGTCGATTTGGAGGAAGTGAAAAATCTGTATCCTTCAAACTTCCTCTTAAGCACTTCCTGCTTAATTAAAACCTCTCCAAAATATTTAAAGAATGCGATGAAACTGTTGTCAGTCCCTTCTTCTTCGCTTATACTTCTTTGCTTATACTTATACCACTTTGTGGTCATCATCATCATCATCACATCCAATTCAGCATGATGGTGGCTGGGAGCCTGTCTTGTCCACTGGGCAGAAGGCAGGATACACCCTGGACAGGGCGGTAGTCCATGGCAGGGCGCGCACACACACACACACACACACACACACACACACACACCAGGGCCAGTTACTATTGTAGAAGCCAATTAAACCACCATGCTGTCTTTCGGCCAGTGGGAGGAGACGGGAGCACCTGGAGGAATCTCACACGAACACATGAAGAACATACAAACTCCACACAGACAGCACCCCAGGAATTACCACCCAGACCACTTTCTATGCTACCGATTTTCAGATCAGGGTGAAAACTTACAGTGAGCGCACTGATGAGTTTGGAGATCTCTATTGCCACCTCCTTGTAGTTGTTTACTACCACCTTATAGGCAAAGGAAGCCTCATAGACCCAGTCCACAACGATTACATTCACATCCTCTGCCGTCAGGAAAGCGAGGACAAGGTCATTAATCCAGGAGGGCTTGTTTCCCAAAACCCTACGAGAGCGAACGAGAAAAGGACATTGCAGAGCCACGCTTACACACTTTAGTCAGTGATATACAACGGCCGAATAGAGGGAATATCCTGTCCCTGAGAAGCACAATGCAGAAATGTTCTTTTCAGAAATGGATTTTAAACACAATAATTTTGAACAATTAAACGAAGATTTATGTGAAAGTTAGGGAAGAATTCTCGAGGATCAGAATCGGTAATAAGAATCTAAACAGATGTCTAATGTAAAACCGATGATTTTCGATGATTTTGGGACAAAACAGAAGTGCAGAATGTCCAGAGTTATTCTGTTCTTGCAAAGTTTCTACAGTGACCCTTCTGGAGCCCAACAAGCAAAACCCTTTGAAGGAGCTTTAGAACATACTTAGAGGAATCCGTAAGAATCTCATCCAGCTATTACTAGAGAGCTGTTTCTTCCTGTGAGGGCGGTGTCACAATGGGAGCTGATCCCAGGCGTACAGGGTACAAGTGAGGACTCATGTCTTAGCTGCATGTACCGTAGTAATCGAAGGCTTGTTGCATCAGGAAACCTTGCATGTATTAAACAGTGAGGAGGCAGACGTTTGCAGATTCGGCTAAGCAAAGCTAGACTCCAAAAAGTGCTTCCCGACTGCATCTCTTTTCAACTCCTTTTTAGCCATTCCAAAAGCATCTTTTTTTAAAGACTTCTGGATGAGCAAGGAGCACTTTTAGAAGCCACTGCCATGCGTGCTGGGTCTTCCTGGCGCTCACCTGTAGCCATGGATTATGACTCTGGTGGGCAGGGAGACGTTGAAGTGCGCCGCGGAGTCCTGCCTGATGACCGTGGCGCAGCTTCTGTTGCCCCGGGTGAAGAGCAGGAACTGGATGTGGAATCGGACCCCCTTGGGGAGCACTCTCCTGGCGACGTGCCGGAAGTCCGCGCAGTCCCAGGCTGGGCCTCTCCCCGGCTCTTGCACTGGCGAGGAGAGTCTTTAGCGAGCTTCTCATGACATGAATCTCGACGCGCCGGTCCAGAACATGACACACTACTGCGCTGGGGGAAGCTGCCAAAACTTTCCATGAGAGTTTTGCCAGAAATAGGGTTGCTTACACTGATATGGCTAGAAACCGCCCCCCCCCCCGTTCCTGTTCGATTTGTTCTTCATTTAGAGGGAGTATCTTAGTTCATCTGAGCTTCATCGTCACTTCATATGCAATCTTAGTCAATGTGAAAAAAATTGCTTTAGGTGGTGGCTCTCAAAATGAAACAATTTGGGGAAATTGAACACGGAAATGTTAGCAGATGACACAAGACCCACCTTTGTTTGTTTTTTTTGTTAGTTATTAAGCAAGCAACTGATTTCCTATTAAATAAATTAGTTATTTATCTACTAAGCAAGTCTGCTTTGTGTATTATTTGAATCAGTTGTTCTGGAGGAAGACCACAGGTTGTAATGTGCCCGTCTCAGCTCTGCACTTCACCGTTTTTCAGAGCAACTTCCAAAGAAGACAAACAAATCAAGACTTAAACAGGCATCGTTCTAAGACACACGTACACTTAACAGATCCCCTATGTAATGACTGAGCAGTCTCTTTTCATAGCAGCAGGCTGTTCCCTGCTACTTCTGCTTCACCTTGCTCTGAAAAACCACACACAGGTCATACTAATGCAGGCCGCACAGGAGCAAACAATTACGAACAGAACAACTCACATACAGTACAGACTGCTCTAGGTCTTCAAAGCAAAACAAGAGGCCGAAGACTGTCATGGTATTAATATCTGTTACACTGTAAATTAAGGAAAATGGTGGATGGAAGAGTTTGAGCTGCAATGTAGTTTACTTACCTGTGTTACCTGCATAAACTCCATCACAGAATGACACAATGCCCAGAGAAATCAGAGTTATCCAGATCGCAGTCATTCTGTGTCAGGAGGCACGAGACCGAAGCACATACTTCTTGTGCAGCTGACAAAAAAAAACCCAGTGGAAGGGGAAGAGGTGTGGGGGATGGTGCTGTCAGTGGGTGGGTGCTGAGACTCATGTTAATGATCTGCAGTCTCACTTCAAGACTTCCAGCTGGCTGACACGCTCACAAGCCAGGGGACTAATCGTGTTACAATTTGAAAAAGGCGATGCAAAAATGAAAGATTCTCTGGATGGAGGGATTAAGTTGGGTAATCATAGTCAGAGATGTAAGAACAGAGCTCGTATCCTCACACCAGCTTGCAGGCAGCCACATCAGAGCTGGACAAGGAGCTGGGTCAGGGGCACTGACAAAGGTCACATGTCTAGAATATTTGCAAACAACTTGGTGGATAAGAAATAGATAGGCAACATCTGATGTTTGAAAAACTATTTATTTATTAAGCAAAGGTAAAAAGACAACACACAAGCTGTTGCAGACTTATATATAATCATACAATCCCTAGAGACAAATCCTCCAAGCTGTTACTAAAAAGTGACAAAAATCAGTTCCTGTTCGGGGATGACCCCCAAATGATCCCAAATGAGAATGACCGATTTTGCCTGGTGGGTTTGAAATGGAAATGAAATACTTCCACAAACAGGACAGGTAGGGCTTTGTTTCCTTCAGAGCCGAGTTCTGTACGCAAGAGGTTTCTGTTCATCAGCGAGGAGGCCCGACCAGTTGTCCTGGTGCTGAAGGCTCTCCTCTCCCTGCTTCTCGCTTGTGTTGGCCGCTCTCCCGCACTCAGGGGGCGTCGAGGTGGCGGTGTGCGCGGATCTGGGGGAATCTGTGGCCTCACCACGCAACCTCAGAAAATCTCACCCCCCTCTGATTGATAAAGACACGTTATTACGCGGCCTCTAGTACAACTAATAATAACAACAAGAAGGGCAACGGTGAGAGGAGAGAGCAGGGCCCTGTGTCAGTGACAGAACTGCAGAGGAACAAGCAGAGGTAAGATAAAGAAGGAGAGAAGCCCGGTGTTCTGGCTGGCTGTTGCTCGTCATGTCTGTCATGCCGATTTTCTTCTTGATGACTTTTAGGCGTGACATTAACCTCCGCAGCAGCAGCACCAGCCACGCTAATAGTCATGATAGGGTTCTGTTTTGGAGTACTTTTAGGACTGAGTGTGATTAAGCGATCGTTAACGGGGAGCACAATAAAACAAGCAGCCTGCGCCAACCTCTGTCCCAGCAGTCCGGCCAAGCCCCCGAGAGGCCGGAGAAGCAGAGCCACGTGAGCCGAGAGTTGTACTGGGGATGCCGGCGGGTGACGCCCCTCTCTGAGGAAGAAGGAAGAAGCCGGGGAGCTGCTGTGAGGGTGGAGATGGGAAGGCGGCAATCGTGCGGAAAGAAACACTCGAGCAGGAGGCCCGACTCGCCAAACTAATGGTATTTCTACACAGGCAGGAGGGACTGGGTGAGATCAGAGTGGGACATCCTCCTGATCCTTTGTTTTACACTTCATCCAGTGTGCGTATATAATCAGCACACAGACACACAGACACACACAGGGGATATTTTAAAGACATGGAAAGAAACCAGAGCACAGGGCTGTGGAGGAGAGCACAGACGCCCCACGCTGAGAGGGTCCCGGGCTGGAGTTGAACCCAGGACCCCAGGAGTCGTGAGGCAACGACCCCGACCTCCACTCCACCATGGCGGAGCTGGCGATGAAGGAGAAGAGGAGGAAGAAGACGACAAAGACCCCCTTATCTGGCCACGTAATTGACATTTGAAGGGACGATTTCTTTTGCTAACGGTTAATGGAGACAGCGAGGAGCGGTGATCGGGCCCCGCCCTTTTACCCTACTTTCACACCCTCTTCCTCACCGGCGCGGTGCGGCGACTAGGGCTGGCGGCGCTCCTCCACCCGCCGGCGGCACTTGGGCAGCAGGCCCGCCAGCCAGTCCGTGGTGCGGGCCCTGGCCTCCTCCCAGCAGTAGCGGGGGCTGTAGCCCAGGTCCCGCTGGGCCTTGCCGTAGGTGAAGGTGAACGGGGTGTTCAGCATGGTGAGCAGCTGCCGGTTCAAGGGGGGGGTGAACTTCACGAAGGGGCTCAGCAGCGCCTGGGCCACCTCCAGCAGGAAGGAGAGGAAGAAGAGCAGGGGGAGAGGCAGGGGCAGCCTCTCCCGCAGCCTGAACCCCAGCGGCTTCATGACCGCAAGGTTGAAATCCGAGTAGCTGAGGTGCGGGGTGTCGTCGGAGATGAAGTAGAAGTTGCCCTGGACCGCCCCTCTCCTGCGGGGGTCCCGCAGGGCCCTGGCCGCCAGGACGTGGGCCCAGGCCACGTTCCCCACGTACACGGGGTTCACGGCGGCCTCCTTCCTCGAGGTGCGCGTCAGCACGTCCCCGTTCCGCGCGCCCTCTTCCAGGTGGCCCGCGAGGAATCGGCAGCCCTCGCCGTAGATGTACATGGGCCGCAGCGCGCAGGTGGCGATCCGGCCGCCGCTGGCCTGCAGGGTCAGCTGCTCCGCCTGGAACTTGGTCCGGCTGTAGGGGAACCTGAGGCAGCGTGGGTAACGCGTGTCCTCGCTGCCGTTGCGGATGGGGTCTCCGCGGGGATTGGGGCCCATCACCTCGATGCTGCTGGTGTAGACGAAGGAGCTCACATTCTCCTGGATGCAGGCTTCTAACAGCAGCTGGGTGCCTGGGGAGAAGAAGCCCCATTTGCACGCTGCACGAGTGTCGCAGTAGCAACTGCAGTAAATACACGTAACGCATTCCTTTTCTTGGATCTGTTCCTCTCGAGTCCGGTTACGTGTATCAGTGTATGGGGATGTATGTAAGTAAAGACAGAAGGGCCTGCAGCACTAGCTCTTTCTCTGTCCCTGTCGGAAACGTCATGCCTATTTCCCACACCGGTCCCCCTGCACAGCTCCAGGCCTGCTCGCTCACGGTGTCTGCAGGGCTTCATTCCACAGCTGCTCTTCATGAGCTAATGGAGCTGACCTGCTTATCTGGGCATCTCTCACACTTCTCAGTGCTGAAAAGGCTCTTCAATACCCCATAGGAAGTGTCCCAGATCACAGCGCTGCTGTTTTCCAGGAGCTCAGAGTGCTTGCAATGGCCTTCCCCGGACTCTATGAAAGATAAATTCTTTGACTCACTTCAGATCTGAACGTAAAACTCTCCTTTTTACCGGGGTCTGTGTCTGATTGCCCTACATTCCATCCGCCTCGGTCCAGATTTCCAATATCAAGAAACCTCGAGGTAGCAAGACACCCTGCTTCTCCCTCTGAGCTGCTGAGAGGAACTAACCTGGAGTTATGACAATACCCACCTCCTTTGGCCCACATGTCAATCTTATCTCTTAAAGCCGGTACCACTTGCGCCTAACGAGTGAAAACCACAATAACCAACCATCATACACTCACAGCAATTTACAAGGACTCATTCTCTACAGTCCTCAATACAGGCATCTGTCCCTCTTAGTACTCATCTGTGTACTGTATATTCAGGGTCTACATGTAGTAACTGTTTCAAGATATTAAAGAGACTGTACAGTAGAGGAAAATTCCATCGGTTTTCTTTACCTGCCACTAGGTGGCGCTGTCGTGGATTAGGATTAGGCTAACAACACTTGCCTGCAATCGGTCAAGGCCACAAGGCCCGGTGTGCAGGTGCTGTTTTGTTTGAAACTCAAGTAGGAATGAAATTTACAGCGACGTTTCATCAGGCGTCAGAGTTTAAAACACCAGTGTGACGGATATTGAGGTTCTTTTCTTTTTCTCTTAGGTCTACTGGCAGATGTATATTTCTGGGAACACAGGTTTAGTCTGTTTTTACAACACGTGATTGAGAGGGTGATGGTCTGGAAGCAAACAGGGATAATAATAAATGTCTGTAATATATGCCTATTTACGGGCTCTGTGAGGATTCCATTCACAGGAGACAATGGGGATCGAAGTACTTCAGCAGTTTGAAGTGAGGACCCTCGGTGTTTAGTGCTCTGTCCAGGAGTAATTCATGGTTATACGGTATGCCCACTGCCCCTGCGAGCGTGGCGATACGGCGTGTGACGCCCATGTCCTCCCTGCCCCTGGTAGGCCTCACCTTTCACATTCACCGCGTGCAGCTCGCTCTCCGACACGAGTCCCGTGACGTCGATGACCGAGGCCGTGTGGACCACCAGAGTGGCGCCCCGGCAGGCTCCCTTCAGCGCCTCGGGGTCCCTGATGTCCCCCCGGAGCACCGTCACTTTGGTTCGGTCCCGAGAGGCTGCAAGGCAACGTGGGCCGTCAGACATCGGGGCCTTCGGGGCCGGTTAACCGATGCGGGCGCTGTTGGCGGCGGACTGTTTAACTGCCGATAACCCCCCTCCCTTGTGCGATGGCGTGGTGACGTGTTACTCATGCACGCTATTCTTTTGTAGCTCTCTCGGGTTCACGTGGGTGTGCGCCCTCGCCGCTGCCACTTCACGTCGGCCCCCAGCCTCTGGGGACTCGAACCCGGGCCTCCAGCGTCGCCCAACAGGGATCCCGCCAGCTGAGCTAAAGGGAGATCTCCCCTCAGCCCGGCGGCTGCGGCCCCTGCGATCCACAGGGAGGGGCAGTGGCAAGCCGGCTCGCACAGCCTGCAATGTCTGCCGTGTGCGGTACACTTTTTTTAATATCCAGTGAGGCAATTTTACAAATGCAGTGCAGAGTCCTTAATCTTATTTTGTCTGCCGACTTCAGCCACTGCCTAGAGGCTGGAAGGAGAAATAAAATCTGCTCATTCCATGTCCAAAATATGTTTTTTTTATTTTTTTTCTGAAAACATTGTACTACGTCTTCATAACTGTAAATGTTTGGTAAGTTTCTCAATAGTTTTCTTCGTGAAATTGTAAACATTACCAAAGCCTGTTGTATTTCTAATAAAGATTAAAGAACATTTTATGGCTAAACAGCAAAGTAATACTAAACATCATCATCTATTTTATATGAACATGTAGAAGTGAATTCAACAAATAAAAGTAAACAAGGAAATACAATATCTCAGCTGAGATTGGGACAGGAACATATCAAGCAATATTATGCAGATTATATATTTAAGTTAAAAATGACAGCAAATACAATGTACTCTCTAGGTACTGTACATGTCATTAATCCATGTTTGTATAGGAAAATATTTACATCCCACAAGAAACATTTTTGTTTTGAGCTTTGTGTAAAAAAACACACCCCTGATGGAATGAATACTAATATCGGACACAATGAGCAATCCTGATCACATCGCTAAGTTTCTGATAACATGTGTTTAATCCTTTTATTAATATCTATTTGTGAAGGCAGCTCAGAGACCAAATCAAAACCCAGTTGCCCACAATCTGAGAATGGAAGCCTTGAAATTACAACTTTAATTAACGGGGTAGTAGCGAATTGAAAGTGGTTCACAGCTTTTTCTGTGGCTTTAGTTGGAATTTACTCAGTTTTCATGAAGAAAAGAAACTGCAACATGATAACACTTTAGAAAAAAAGATATTTATGTGCTCCTTATATTTGGAAACGGCTGAATAGCAACAAAAACTTTACTTTAGCTAATGTGAGGCAGCTAACATTACCTTCCAAAGCCTGAATGAACTCGGGTCTGATGTTCCTGTCAAAGAGACGAAGCTCGGCGAGTTCTTCCTCCTCCAAAAGGAGCTTTGCAATTCTCTCCCCCAGGAACCCACAGGCTCCGGTAATGAGGCACACTTCGTTAGCAAGAGACATGGCTGTTCGGAGAAGAGGTGGCTTTCAGCACGCAGCTCGGCTGTCTGGTGACAAGTGACATGTGGAACTGGTTCTAGGGGTGTTATATGCCCTGATGCCTACCGATACCAGCTCCCCCGCTGACCTTGTGAAAACATTCTGCCAGAGCTTTATCTCAAGGCTAGGCTGACAGAAGACGTTTATTTTTTTCTCAGTTACACAACTACAGGCAAAGGTGCAAGAAAACACAGTACATCCTTATTTTTGTAACACAGCTGAGATTTAGAGGCCATGGGTCATTGCAGTTTGAGGTCTCTTCCCTCCTGCTGTGGGAGGGTGGAGTGACTCGTAACGACTGGCACGTTCAGTCACGCTGGAAGGACAGCACATGCGCTGGCATAGTGGTGATCCACCACTAACTTCTAACGAGACCCCACAGAAACGAAACGTTATCGAGTTTATCAGAGAGGGCTCAATTTGGAATAAAAACTGCTTTCTCTTCAGGGAAAATGCAGAGATTGTAAGATGCTGTAATGCAGTTGCTGCTTCTTTCAGATCTGCTCTGTATGAGGCCAAGAATAAGCTCAAAGGGCACGGGTCTGACGATTGACTACGGTGTGTTTGTGTGTGTGTGTCTGTGTGTGTCTGTGTGTGTGTTTAAACAGGTGGTGGAATGTTTAATGACTTCAGATCAGCAAGATATTTTCATGCATTGATATAAATGAGGTAATGAAGCAGGTGCTCTGGCTGTGTTTTCTTCTACACATCTGGGTCCTATTTGAAGAGACATTGTTTCTTGAAATCCCTTGATGTCAGTGTTTCTGCTCACTGTGGCTTCACATCTTTTAAACTGCAACTTTTAGTCTTTCGCTTCAGAGCTAGGTCGTTTTTCGTAGTTTCTCCGAATTTAATTCACTGACCAATTTGTCTTACCTGTTTGCTTCAGCAGCAGTGGCTGTGCTCTAGGCTAGAGGCACAACAGAGAGCAGAGGAGAGTGATGAAGGAAGGTGACAGAGGAGGTTAAACAAAGGCACATCCTCTGGTCCTACGTGTTGGTCGATAACAATGGCAGGTGCTTGTCGAAGCAGAGGCAGAGCTTAATAGAGCTGGCTGCCCCGTATGTGACCTGTCCCAGCCTGAGGAGCAGGCGGTTCCATAATAACATAACAGTTCATCATTACGTGTTACATGATGTCCCTAAACGTCCAGTAATATGTTTTTGCTGTACTGTTAATTGTGTCTGCTTTGACAGCACTGTAATCCACTGGTCACCCCAATACAACGATAAAAGCACTTTGAATTTTGAACTTTGAATTGTCTAAGAACTGATTTTTCTCTCATATCTGTGTTCTTCTAAATAGTTCCAGAACAACAGAATATGATTATTGTGAGCATCCATCCGTTTATCCATCCATTCCTTTTAAAATCCACTTTTATTATAAAAAGTGGATTTTAGGTGAGGCTGGGGGAGACAGTCTCACCTGGGAATCAACAGGCGCAAGGCAGGATACGTCCCGAATGGGAAGCCAGTCCATCACAGGACACACACAGACACAGACTCTCCCAACCAGGGCCAGTTCTCCCAGAAGCCAATTAACCCACCAGTGTCTCTTTGGACTGGGGGTAGCAAACCCACACAAACAGCAGGTAGGATATACACTGCAGGCAGCAGGTAATACCCCAGGAACTGAGCCCAGGGCCCTATTGCTCTGAGACAGCAGTGCTGACCCCTGTGCCACCCTGTGGCCCTGAGCACAAGCCATTTGTAGGTATTTAAAGCTGAATCATGTATAGAATCTACTTGCTGGGATGGGCCCCGGCTCCTTCCCTCCCTGGCAGATTCTGCTAAATTATTCTGACAGTCAGCGTTTCTGGGAACGCGAGCTGAAGGCCAGTGCTGTTACGCTGCAGTCGTGCGCGGAAACTCAGAGGAGATCTGTGAGCGCTCACTGGAGCATTCAGGCCTCCGCCCCTGCCTGTTCACTCGCACTTCCTCCAGGCTGACGGTTTCCTCGAAACGAGGGTGCGGAGATGTGCTTTCATGGAACTTTTCTCTTCTTGTCTGTACTGACCTTGGGCTCTGCACGCCAGTGTGATTTAATGCCGTGTCCAGCCTCTTGTTTTTGCATCATGTCAAGGCTGCCTCAGATAACTAATGACGCGCAGGTTTCTGTTGGCCTCATGTCCAGCCAAACTCTGGCGCCTGCAAAGATGCCAAATGCAGGCTGAGGGCTGGGGGCTGTCAATCGATCGCCCAGGTTTTAAAAACAAGAATAAACGTGCTTTTCAAATCCAGAGTGCAAAGCTAGTCGGCATGAACCACCAGAGACTGAATTTTAAGCCTGAAAACTCCTATTTTTTATTTGATGTATTTTTAGTGCACTGAAACTGTTTATTGAGAGTGAAATTTGTTTTGTGTTATTCGATTTTGATTTTATTTGAGTTATTTGTTTTATTTCATTTTGTGTTGTTAGCACAGTTCAGGTGTCACAAAAATGTTAAGGCCAAAATAACAGTGCACACTTATTCAGCATTTTGGAAAAAAATGAAACAGAGCAATTTCAAGTAGAAACACAATACGTACTGTATGACTTCCGGTGTACTTGATAGGTTTTTATATAACTTTTATTCTGCCTTTTGCAAAACATTAAATATTACAGATCAGAGTAAAGGACATCAAACGTTGCTACTTCGTCATCAGTATTTTATTGTGAAAACACAGAAAAGATAACGACTTGGCATTATCCATGCTCAAAAAAAGAAATGGAAAAATAGACTCTTTCAAATACAAGTACGGTTATTTGCATTCATCCCGAGAGAACTACTCTTTTGCATGCTGGCCTGAACAAGTTTTCCGCCTGTCAAGAAGCCGAGCTCTGGGCTGAATTGTTTAGGGCACGCCGTGAAGAGCAGGAGTCTACATTCGGAGCGGTCCGGACAATTTAACAGCAGGAGGCTGGTGAGGTGTCTGGGCTGTGGAGAGAGAGAGAGAGATCTCTCGTGGATCTGGAAGCAAGCCCAGCGGGTGCCCGTGGGTGCCCGGGGGTCTCAGCTCTTGGGCGAGAGCGGACACTCCTGTATCTGCGACTCGACAGAGCCCTCTGGGGGGTGGACGGTCAGGGAGCAGGCCCGGATCCCCCCGAGGGGCTCCAGCACGTCGAAGACCTTCCTCCACTCGTCCCTCTGGGGGCTGTAGCACTGGACCATCTCCAGCATGCAGCGGCTGTTCCAGGAGTAGCCCCCGACCACGTAGATCTCGCCCCGGAACACCGCCACGCCCACGTCGCTCTGCCCGCGCAGCATGGGCGCCATGGCCGTCCACTGGTCCGTGCCGGGCTCGTAGTACTCGCAGCTCAGCACGTCTTCGTAGTCGTTGGCGCCGCGGAAGTGGTTCCCCCCGATGACGTAGAGCCGGTCTTCGATGGCGCACATGCAGTGCAGCCCCCGGATGGTGGACATGTCGGCTCGGCGGCTCCAGCTGTCCGTGTCGGGGTCGTAGCAAGTCAGCTCCTTCTGGAAGGTGTCGCGCGTGATGCCCCCTGCAGGGCGGGCACAGAAACACTCAGCACCCGCCCCACGAGAGCTGACTGGGACACTAGCTGTCAGCCCTCCCCCCGGGGCAGAGCGATGAAGAACGTTGCACTGACCACAGGATCACGACTGTTGCTCAGGGCCTCCTGTGAGCGTGGGTGTCAATGTAACATTTTGGAACGCAGAGTTAGCGGGAAATTTCATTCAGATGAAAAGCAGGAAGCGAGTAGAAGGCAGTACTGAGCAGGCAGCAGCAGCAGGAGCGCAGAAGCTGTTTCTGAGGAGGCTGAAAGCAGTTGGTGAAATCGGGTGTGTGTGTCTCAAGAGTCCTGTCTTTAGACTACACCTCGACATCTCTTGCTGATAAAGGTGAGAGAGGCTGTGATAGATTTCTTTTTGATGCTGGTCATGGTGTTGGTAATCTACTGACATTCAATTTTTAAGGTTTCTAGTTTAAGTGCCACTTCTGAGGTGTCTCATTCCTGTTCCAAATCATTTGATTAGGGGCTGTAGAAAACATCCCACACCGAGGACGTCCCACGTGGGAATCCTGCCCTGTTTTGCAAGCTGCCCCAGCGGCCTGTGGTCACTGTTACAGTCGTGCCTGTAGCTGCAGTGCAATTGTGCAACGGCGTAGTAAATGAGTACAAACACACATCTGAGCTGACAGGAGAGGAAGTGGTATCAGAGTGAAAGAGAACGCCTGTGAAGACCAGGGCTGCTCTCCGCCTGCTCTGGTCCTCTGCTCTGAATTCTGTGTTCTGTGATCAGTGGTCAGTGTAGCTGCTCGCCATACAGGAGGGAACTTACTGTACACAGTGCGGATGCAACACCCACTCTGGTTGTGAGACCACTGAAGGATTCCAGTAGCAATGATAAGAAACATCACTGTGTTACTTTAAAGATAAAGACTGAAACGTGGTATGAAAATGTCACAGTTCCTGAATAAACCACACAGATAACGCTCAATATGTAAATTGACGTGTTCTGTTAGCTGTTTTTAGATTAGATGGGTGAGAGAACTAATCCACTAATATTCAGCGCCCTAAACGGGTATCTTCTTCACGGTTCAGTGCTCCCACTTAATTTCTACCCTGTTTGCGGCTCTCAGTATTCCGAATCCAACCAAAAAAAAAACATTCGGAATCCTGTATTTTTAAATAGAAGCATTAAGAATGTTGAGCAAAAAAATAATTTTGAGAAAAAATATAATCGAGGTTTTACAGACTTCTTGACCAGCAGTGAATTTTATTGAAAAGAAAAATCTCTGAGCAATAACACGAAAGTCCTGTGGATAGAACGTATTAGTATTAATGCAAAAACTGAACTGCAATGTGACAACAGACCCTCAGAAGCCCATCCAGTTGTTTCCTGAAGGAAGCCAGGGTATTGGTTTCAACATCATGGCTGGGTGGCTCCATGTAAACCTGTTCCTCCTTTTCTCAGATTTTAAATGCCCTCGACTGGCCAGGGTACAGTATATCATTGTTATCTGGACCTTTTCATAACCTGTATGCCCCAAACTATACCGTCACTGCAAAATCAGACAGACCGCAGCATCATGTGCATTTGAAATTGGGATGGTATAAATAAAAGGGAAACCTCGACTCACGGTTACTCACCTGAGATGTACATCAGCTCCCCATGAACCGTTCCTGCGTGTCCATAGTGTGGCTCTGCCATTGGTGACACAAAACTCCACTCGTTTTTACAGAGGTCGTAGCATTCCACGCTCGCTGTTAGAAGACAGAGGGTTTTTAACACCTTCAGTGTTAAGCTTTATAAGGTTTTGACAGGCATGAAGATCAGGTCACCTGCTCTAATAGTAATGTTTAGCAGAAGAAATACGTTAATAACGGATAGTTTTAGAAAATACTTAAGCAGCTGAGTGACTGCTGCTTGTACTTCGGTACAGCTACCGTTTTACTGCTAATGCATTGAGATATTAGGCTTCAAAGTACTGGAAACACAGTGATTGTAATGATGTTTAGATTTGCAAGGAATCTTCCCTCCCACGTTTGAGAGACTGCTTGGCTAAGGAATGCCTCACTGGCGTACTAGAGAGATGCACAAGAAGAGCCCTTAAAGCCCTGACAAAAAAGTGTCAAACAGGGCGGTGGGCTAAGCCCCGTGTCTACAAACGCTTTTAAAATTAAATTGTGACCAGTTCTCATTTTTCAGCGACCAATTAAGTATTTTCAGTTTCACACCTACAGTAGGAGACTACTATGATAGTTTTTTTTTTCATAAATGGCAAGAAAGTCAGCCTGTTGTGCAAACTGATTAACTCCAAACCTCCAAAACAGTTTTTCACTGAGATGACTGCCACCTCTGTCTCTTCGTTGTTGATTTACAGTACAGTATATAGCACCGTAACACTGCCTGCTGTTTAAATCTTCAGACATGGGAAGCGCTAGTGATGCCCTCCATTGCCCCAGACATGTCTTTGACTGTGTTGAGGCACATTGACATTAGACTCCTGTTTGTTAATGGGTCCATGTTGTGTCGATGTATTGTGTGTTGTGTCATGTCTGTACCTGCCTGCAAAGCAAACTTCTCATCTGGGACAATAAAGGGAAGGAAGGAAAATGCGCAGGTCTCACCTATCTCTCCTGTCGCGTTCCTCCCCCCCACAGCGTAGAGTTTGCCTTTCAGGGCGCTCACATGGAAGAAGGTCCTCTTCTCATTCAGGGGGGCAACTTGCAGCCACCTGTTGAAACGGGGGTCGTACCTGTAGACGCTGTCGACCGCCGTCTTGCCCTTGGTGTCATAGTTGCTCTGGCCACCCACGATGTAGAGGAAGTTCCCAATCACGGCGATCCCGTGCTGGTACCTGGGCACGTCCATAGGCATGAGGGCCTTCCAGGACTGGGTGCCCTCGTCGTACAGGCGCAGCTCCCTGCTGACCACCAGCTGCTGCCGCATCACCCCCCCAAGGGTGACCAGGTGGCTGGCGTCCGAGCGGATGCGCGTCCTCTCCGACTGCATGATGGGCTGCATGCACGGCATCATCTGGTAGTTGCTGGCCTCCAGCAGGAGCCTGACGCAGTCCGTGTCGGCCCGCAGCAGCTCGTCCCCCTGCGAGATCTGCAGGAGCTCGTTGGGGCTCATGAGGGGGAACCTGACGTTCCTCATCAGGCTGTAGGTGTGCGCCTTGCGGGCGTCGTCGTGCTTGAGCCAGGCGCAGGCGGCATGGTACAGCTCCATCTCACTCAGGCCCTTCAGGCTGTCGCTGGCCAGCGCGTAGGCCATGCTCTCCTCAGAGAGCTGCAGGTGCCTGCTGGACTTCACGAGGGTCAAGAAGTTCCTTTGCACAAATTCGTTGACGTAGGCCTGCACTTCCTCCAGGTGGAAGTCGCTCGCGATTCGCCCCACTTCCACACAGTTTTCTATGGTGACCTGCAGGTACAGTACGTGCACACACACACTTCGTTCAGCACCCGGAGGCAGCCTGAACTGTTCTGGCGGCCATCAAGCCAGTGCGTCAGCGAGGTGAGAGGGGGGAGCGTGCAGGGCTGATCGAGCAAAGGTGAATTACGCGCTGCAAAAGAGGAGTGAGGAAAAACTGTGCACGAGAGAAGGAGCAGAGATATGAGAAAAAGAGGTGGGACAGGGCAAGCAGAAGAGAAGAGGCCACGAGAACAGTCACAGAGAGTTACAGAGAGGAGGCCGCTGGCACATCTTGCCTGTTAGGCAGCTGCCGAAAAAGGCTCCGCAGTCAGCGAGTGAGACGTGTGGTTGGCGCAACGCAGCACAGCAGTAGTTGGGAATGAAAGCAGGTTCGAGAGTTCTGGCTGGCAGCAGGTCACTTTCACCCATAGTGCTTTCCCTCACCTCGCTGCTGAGGAGCTCCTTGCAGAAGCCCAGAACCGGCATCACCTGCAAGAAGCTCGCGGCCTCCAAGGTGTCCTGGAGGTTGTCCATGTGGAGGGTCACCCTGGCCGTGTAGATGAAGTCGATGATGTTCTTCAGACCTACTCTGCTGAGCCCGTGAAGCTTAATGGTCTTCAGTTCCTGCTCCTTCATTCCTCCTTTGGGTGAAACCGAAAGAGGACCCTGCAGTCAAAAGCTCTCGAACGAGCATTGAAAAGCACAGGCGAAAGCAATTTTTTTTGGGTGTTGTTTGTTTTTGACGCTGGTGACCACACAAAACACTCTCATCATCAGGTCTCGATTTTTGTGTGACAATATTAAGAATAAATAACTGAGCAGCTCTTTGTGGACAGAGAAGAATGGTATATATTAGGGAAATTTGATCTTTTTAGAGAAACATAAAAATATACCAACATATTTTGATAATAACATTTGTGTACTTTAATATTAATATATACTATTATTATATGTCCATTAGTAGAGCATAGCTAAAATGTAAATCTGGCAGATGCATAAACAAATACTGTATGCAATTAAAATTAAGAGCGATGTAACAAAAATATAAAATGTGATTGCTTAAGTGTGGAACATTGAAGCATATGGCAGAAATCTCAGTTTTTACTGATATTGCATTATTACACAAAATGCTGATCTGCCTAAAATGTCATGCAATTCAGAACAACATACTGCAAGATAGATAGATAATACTTTATTAATCCCATAGGGAACAACCTGCCTCGCTGTTCTAATAAAAAGAATAGAAAGCTTATTCTCAGTGCGGGGAGAAAACCGTTCGTTCATGCCATGTGACAAGGAGTTTGTCAGGGAGAGTATGACAGAGGAACGTTTAATAGTGAAGCCACTGGTGTGTCATGAATAATAAACCCACACGTACCTGTGAACATGGCCTTGAAGTAGTCACTGGAGGAAGCCATGATTATTCGGTGGACTGGGAAGGGTTCCTCTCCATCCCCAGGCACCAGAGCCACGTCGCAGAGCATCCTGCAGGAGCGGAACCGGTCGAACCCCTAGCAGGAACGAAAAGGAAGCAGAGAGCATATGGATTAAGCAGAAGAGGACATAGGAACTTCCTGGAAGTGGCTGT